GAGGGGGGCCGCGCCCCAAACCCTTTGTCCAATTCGGACTGGGCTTGGGAGGGGCGTGCGCCACCTCCTGGCTGCTGCCTCTCCTTCCCACTAAGGCCCAATACTACTTCCCCGTATTCCCGTAACTCCTCGGTACTCCGAAAAATACCCGAATCACTCGGAACCTTTCCGATGTCCGAATATAGTCGTCCAATATATCGATCTTTACGTCTCGACCATTTCGAGACTCCTCGTCATGTCCCCGATCTCATACGGAACTCCAAACTACCTTCGATACATCAAATCACATAACTCATAATACAAATCATCACAGAACTTTAAGTGTGCGGACCCTACGGGTTTGAGAACTATGTAGACATGATCGAGACACTTCTCCGGTCAATAACCAATAGTGGAACTTGGATGCTCATATTGGTTCCTACATATTCTACGAAGATCTTTATCAGCCAAACCGCACAACACTATACATTGTTCTCTTTGTCATCGGTATGTTGCTTGCCCGAGATTCGATCGTCGGTATCCCAATACTTAGTTCAATCTCGTTACTGTCAAGTCTCTTTACTTGTTCCGTAATACATCATCCCGTAACTAACTTATTAGTTATCATGCTTGCAAGGCTTATAATGATGTGTATTACCGAGAGGGCCCAGAGATACCTCTCCGACAATCGGAGTGACACATCCTAATCTTGATCTATGCCAACTCAACAAGCACCATCGGAGACACTTGTAGAGCACCTTTATAATCACCCAGTTACGTTGTGACGTTTGGTAGCACACAAAGTGTTCCTCCGGTATTCGGGAGTTGCATAATCTCATAGTCATAAGAACATGTATAAGTCATGAAGAAAGCAATAGCAGTAAACAAACGATCAAGTGCTAAGCTAACGGAATGGGTGAAGTCAATCTCATCATTCTCCTAATGATGTTATCTCATTGATCAAATAACAACTCATGTCTATGGTTAGGAAACTTAACCATCTTTGATCAATGAGCTAGTCAAGTAGAGGCATACTAGTGACACAATGTTTGTCTATGTATTCACACATGTATTATGTTTCGGGTTAATACAATTCTAGCATGAATAATAAACATTTATCATAAAATAAGGAAATAAATAATAACTTTATTATTGCCTCTAGGGCATATTTCCTTCACTCTCCCCTTCTCATTGCTATGCATCTCCTAGCTAGATCTTGCGTGATTGTAGAATTTTTTTGAAATTGCATGCTACGTTCCCAACAATTTAAACAACCATTTGCCGAGGAGGGCCCTATTTTTAACCTCAAGGTCATGAATGCCCAACCCGCCTTGGTCTTTGGGACAACAAACCACACTCCATTTGGCTAGTCGATATTTCTTTATCTCGCTATCTCCTTGCCAAAAGAATCTTGACCGGAAATAATCCAATCTATGTAAGACTCCTTTTGGCAACTGGAAGAAGAAAACCATATATAGTACCATATTACTTACTACTGAATTTATGAGGACCAATCTTCCACCCAAAGACAACAGTTTACCTTTCGAACTGCTAAGTCTTTTTTGCAGTCTCTCCTCGACATGTTTCCTTTCAGCATTTGTGAGTCTCCGATAATGTATCGGCATCCCCAAATATGTGATCGGAAACTGGCCCAACTCGCATCCGAATAGTTCATCGTACAAGTGGGCCTCGTCTTGAGCGTCGCCAAAGCAAAATAATTCACTTTTATGAAAAATGATCTTAAGACCCGAGAGTTGCTCGAATGCTGATAAAATCAGTTTCATATTTCTCGCTTTCTCGAGGTCATGATCCATAAAGAGAATCGTATCGTCCGCATATTCAAGTATAGAGAGACCATCATCGACTAGATGATTTACTACCCCATCAATTTGGCCATCAAACTTGGCATGCTCAATCATGACCGCTAGCATATCTGCCACTATATTGAATAGCATGGGCGATATCGAGTCACCTTGTCGCAATCCCTTTCCCGTTTGGAAATAGTGTCCAACGTCATCATTGACCTTAATGACAACACTACCTCCAGAAACGAAGCTATGGACCAAAGCGAGCCACTCTGCAGAAAATCCTTTCATTCTGAGAGTCTGTTGAAGAAAGGGCCACTTGACTTTGTCATAAGCCTTTTCGAAGTCTATTTTGAGTACCACCCCATTCAACTTTTTCCGGATGTAATTCATGGACTGTTTCATGAAGGATAACAACTCCATCTAGGATGTGTCTGCCTTGCATAAAAGTTGTTTGTGTAGGGCGAACCACATGGTCAGCAACCGAGTTTAGCCTAATAGTCGCAACCTTCATGAATATTTTAAAACTAACATTAAGGAGGCAAATAGGAATGTATTGTTGTACCCTTTCAGCCTCATTAGCCTTAGGTAATAAAATAATCTTACCAAAGTTTAAGTGAAATAATTCTAGTTGGCCAGCATGAATGCCGCTAAATAAAAGTAGTAGATCCGGTTTGATGACTTCCCAGAAGTTCTGATAGAACTCTACAGGAAAACCACCCGGACCCGGTGATTTGTGATGATCCATTAGGAAAACCAACTTTCTAATTTCCTCCTCGGAGTATGGAGCTATTAGAAGGTTGTTTTTCTCATTAGAGATCTGGGGGATGTCATTTGTTCGGGACTCATCCAGCGAGAAGTTTCCTTCCTCTGGGGTTCCGAACAGTTTTTTTATAATAATTAGTGATATAAGATGTAAGTTGCTCATGCCCCTTAATCGTGCCATTTCCTGTTGTAGGGAATGAATAATTTTCTTCCGGTGTCTACCATTGGCGACTCCATGGAAATATCTAGTATTTGAATCACCTTTCAGGATAAACTGAGAGTTAGAATGTTGGTACCATTTGAGTTTCTCTTCACGCAACATGTTACCTATCTGTGCATTCGAATGATTCTTGATCTCGATTTCATACTTAGATAAAGATCTAACCTCTACCAAAGCTTTTAATTCATCAATGATAGACGAAAGACGGAGCTTCTCCTTTTTTAGGATACCTACCGTATGCCTAGCCCAACCACCAAGGAATTTACAGAATGCACACATTTTTTATTCCATCTGTGAATTGGGGTAGGCCCGGCCACTGGTTTCTCTCACACCTCCTTGACCATATCATGGAAGCCATCCTGAAGCAACCACCCAAGTTTGAACTTGAACTTGCATCTATGTTGTGGTCGTGGCAAACCAACAGTTAGGAGAACGGGTGCATGGTCTGATATAGCCTCCGTACGAGGTAGAGCACGAATAGACACCATAGAAAATTTAGATTCCGAGTCGGTATCCATTAGAACGCGATCTAGTTTCTCATATGTCTGTTCTGAAAGACTGTTCGCCCAAGTGAATTGTCTTCCAATCATGGAAACCTCTCGCAGATCTAGACTATCGATAACAACGTTGAAAAGGAAAGGCCAATGATTATCAAACCTACCACGGCTTTTCTCATTTGGAAATCGAAGCAAATTAAAATCCCCACCTATAAGAATGGGATAGGGGTTATCTTTCGCCAGATTAACCAATTCACGGAGAAAATCGGCCTTGACTCATCCTGGGCTGCCCCATACACGGCGACGAGGGTCCATGTGAAGTTGTAGGCCTTGTTGCGAATATGGAGTTTAACGTGAAACTCACCATCCAAACTAGCCAAAACATCCATAGTCCCTGTATTTACGCCAAGTAAAATGCCTCCAGAACGACCTTTAGGCGGTCGTGAAACCCAAGTAAAGTCTATCGCGCCTGAAAGACGGTCAAGCAGACTCACTGAGAAATCACGTCTCCCCATTTCAGAGATAGCCACAAAATCTAAATTGTGCTCCCTATTACATTCCGCAATAAATAAATGTTTAGCCAAGTCACGAAGATCTCTGCGATTAAAAAACATTCCATTCATGAGGAAACAATAAGGGATTTAGAACACTTCACCCTCTTATGGGACTTGCTATTTTTTTCAAACGTGCAGTCTTTGACTTACGTCCGGATGCTGTAAGCTGAATTAATGAACTAAGCTCGGGTTCATCTAGACCCACGTCCGAAACCGCTCCTACTAAATGAGAGAGTAGCTGACCATTTGATGTGGCATGCAGCTCCTCATCATCATATGAGAGGCATAAGACTTGCTAGAAACACGTGGAGTAACTTTTAATCGGTCATATTCCAAATGTTTCAAAGCATTAGTCAAAATAGAAATATTCTTCTCATTCTTTCCAAGATTAATACCCACATTGTTTAACTTAGAAACGATGGCAGTATTGGAAAGGGAAGCGTTAATTGATGACTACTTGTACATCCTATAGCATATCCATTGGACATTAGATTAGATTGATCCAAAAATATGACAAGCATTGATTCATGACTAGTTGGAGGAGAGGAACACGGTGTGATGGCTTTTCTTGTGATGCTAATGCGGCTACATCACATTTCTAATCATGTGTGCATACAACAGTTTTTGTGCGTTGCGGCATCGACATCAAGTGTGATGATAAAACTACTATCAGAAGGAAGAACTGGTAAGATCACTGTCATGCCCATGACGGCAAGAACCACTATGAGACGCAACAAGTATTAATAACGTTGGATAAGGGTTTTAGCAGCCGCCCCAGGTCACAACGTCCTGCGCTGGCTAATGGTCTAGACAAGTCGATGGAATCCAGTTGCATCACTTGCGTGGAATCTTTGTGTGTGCGATGTAGAAACAAGCGACATGTGCCCAGCTGATCACAGTCCAACAGATGATACAGCTGATAAGATCTGGTCGCGCCTCAGTTTTGATTGATATGACACAACAACAAGATCTGATCCCGGCCAAGCTGTTAAGTCCAGTAACGACAGATTCATGCTACTAACCGCGCGATACATCCATCGCAACCTTAGCAGTTTAGTTTACTAAGCCCATATACTGTAGTGAGACAAGGCAAGCACAATGGTGGAACATCGCATTTTCTACTGAATGAACCCAAGTGGACGATGGATTCATCTTGTCAACAACCATGCAGTTTTCCAGGCTAAGTGTCGAGGTAGTTTGCAGCCATCATCAGCTCCAGCGTTATTTCTGGCTCGATCGGGAACTCCGCCGTCTCCTTCCCACTACAAACAAAACAATGGAGTCGTCAAACAAACGCAACGGATGAGATATGCAAACACACCACTTAATACACGGCTTATCAGTACACTGCTTCTGTTTCTTTATGCAAGGAACTACCCAAAGTCAAGGTGGAATCCGCAATATTTGTGAAAAACACACCAAATTCTCCTCTAATCACGGGGAAATCTCTTCACCTCTACACACCAAATGCCAATATGGAGTTTTCATCAAAATCTCATTTGAACAGAGAACCAAGTGCAAGGGGCGGGCATTCTACTCCAACTGAGGAAAAAAGTGCTAGGCCTTAATTGTCTGTTTTGCCATGCTAAATTGCGTCGCCTAAGCACACGGCTAGCATTCTTAAGCACTAGGCATCCTATTGCCGCCTAGTGCCTAAGCACGCCTTTTTTTCACTAAACTCAAGTAACAACTGCTAGCTTGGGAAACACGAGTAAGTGCTGGATATTTTTGAGGAATGTCGTTTTTCCCGGCACAGAACCTACTCTACCGAAAACTCTATGGCACAACCTGCCCCCAGGCCCTGGTAGACTATCCAGTTTTCGGCAGAATTCTTCAGAACAATACAGCTTGTGAACGATAGTCAGCATACAATTCTAGGCAACCTCTGTAGTAAAAATAAAATAAAACTTAAGTGCCTCATAATCAGACGAAAAACTTAAGACAACTGAATTTACCCTGACAAATTATGGATTAAAAGTTAAGAGCACCTATCAAGACCTAAGGAAGAAAACATTTAAGGTTACATTGCACATTTATTGAGTTATATCATTTCATGAACACCTCGGTTAAGAAAATTGTCAAGGTTTGGTACAGCTACAATAGAGTAGCTAGGTGGTAGGAACCATATGGTATTTGTAGCTTGATGCAAAAGCTGCATGTGTTGTTGGCGTGTCATTATTGTTGTACCAGTGTATAAGAGGTGACTTCACACAAATGAGACGGAGCATGTGACCTTGTTCCAGAACAAAAAATGATTTTTACTCAAATGGGCATGTGAATGGAGAAGTTGTTCACAAAAGCAGTAAGCATAGGAAACATCATCTTACACACAGTTAAATTCTTGCTTTGCCCCCACAAATGACAAAATAATCCAAGAAGTCATAATTTAGCTTGCAGTAAAAATAACACCAGAAATCCTGAGATGTATGCATGACCAGTACCCACTAATAAAACAGGAAAGATAAATAATAGCATGAGGAGTGCAACAGAAAAGAAAGTATATGGACATCTCATGTGCATGATATATAGTATGGTCCAAGGTAAATGCCTGGATTGTAAATATTCTGATATCTGTTATTTTGAAGTTGTGTGATGTATTCCACTCCCTCAAGCGAGGATTATGCTTCACCAACCTGCTAGTGCTTATTATCGGGCAAGGACAGCAAAACACCTAGTGTGCCATTTGTAAGCACGAAATATTTGACTGGGATGATGGAGTATAAACTTCACATGCTTCATAAGTTTAACCACTGAACAAGTTTGATGAACCATAAATAAAAGTTAAGAGAGGGAATACATGGGAACCATTCAATTGGTTCTGCTCCTAAATATTCTGTAAACGAATCATATAGAGATTTTTTCTCAGAATTCTGAAAAGAAGTCATAGAAAGCTATTATTCCCTCTTTATGTCCGGACTGGCCTGTCTGGAGATAAAAAGCCCTCCAACGGTATCCCCTACTTCTGTCCGGACGTCCAAAATACCCCATTCTGGCCCCAGATCGAGAGGCGAAGTAGGGGAGTCCGGACATGTCCGCAGACACCGCCAACTCAGCATAGGACCACTCCGACCCCACAACAAACCCACTTCTCTCTCCTCTCTCCATTGGACAAAGTGGCGGACAATTGAGGGATACCGTTGGATTACCCGACAAATGGGGCATCGTATTTGCCGTTAGAGATACCCTAAGCATTTAATTTGGTTCGTTTACAGTAACGAATGAGCAAACAATAAGTACCCTTAAAGACACAGATATGCTTTCTAGGTCATCACACTTAGGGGGTGTTTGTTTCCAGGGACTTTTTTGTGTAGGGACTAGAAAAAGTCCCTCTTAGAGACTTTTTTACCAAACGGGAGGGACTTTTTAGAGACTAAACTAGGCATTTGGGACTAAATGAAGAAGACTCTCAAGGAGAGTCTTTTTTGGGACTTTTTGGGACTTTTCCAACGATGCCCCTCCATGCATTCAATGGCCCGCCACCCCATGGTGTTGTTTGATTGTTATTTTTCTATATACTAGGGGCAACATGGTCATTTAATAACCTCTAGGAAGGGACTAGGGACTTTTTAGTCTCTGGAAACAAACAGGGAGAGACTTTTTAGGGACTAGAGACTTTTTAGTTGGGACTAGAAAAAGTCCTAGGACTTATGAACCAAACAGGGCCTTATTCTGGAGTTCTGGACATTTACACGAAACATTTTAACAAAAGAAACCTGCAACATACATGAATGGGAGCCAGGCAGGCTGTATGATTGTTGGCAAGATTTTGTAAGAGCACTCTGTGATGGATCTTAGTTCAAGCAATCGATAAATAAACAAATAAAACAGGACGATGGTTGGCAGGGCAAAACAAGTGCAAGCCACAGGCACCTAAATCTGATTGTTTCACGGCCTTGCTTGCACGGACAGAGTTATCTAATTGGGGTGAGCAGTTAAGCAAATTTATCCCCACAAACAAAAATTAAGCTTATTTGATTGATAATCTGGACGTACAGAGGGGGGAAGGCGAGTCTGAAGTAAGGGATTTACCTGGCGTAGTGGAGCGACCAGTAGAAGTACTGGCAGATCTTCTCTAGGATCGCGGTGCTGATCTCAGGGAACCTCACCTCGCCTTCGCGCGTCTCCGCGAAGCCACCTTAACGCTCATCGATTTCAATTCGATTAGTCAGTAATACCGATCGATTGATCGATTGATGGACGGATGGACCAGAGGGTAGGAAGGATACCAGGTGAGGTGAGCATGTTCCGGAGGGTGTTGGAGACCATGGCTGCCTTCTTGTCGATGACGAACTCGAAACCCTCGGCGCTGATCAGCTTCACCACTCCAACCATGTCGCCGTCCTCCTCGTGCTCCTCCTTGTGCTGCGCCGACGCCGCGGCCTCGCCTCCTTTCCCCACCATCACGGCCTGAATCCCTTCCCTCGCTAAAGCTTTGGATGAGAGGCGACGACACCACGAAGGAGAGAGAGAGGAAGAACAACAACAACCCGATGAAAGTAAAATCGTGGGCTTCAACCTTGTAGTGTATGGGTTGGGCCTCCATCACAACCAGAACGACACGTCACAGCCTGGGATAAATGTGCTTACAGGCCGTGGTGTGCCAGCCCGCATGTCGTTCCCCAGGCCCAGGCACGACTGCTGTAGTAGTAAAGGGGCGGCTCCTGTGGGGCGCGAGGTCCCCCAGTTTTTTTCTATTTTCTTTTCCTTTTTCGCTTTTTAAATTTCTTCTTCATCTCCTTTTTTATCCTTTGTTTTTATTTTTTCTTTTTTTGTGAGTTTTTGAAAAAATGAACATTTTTTGTTTACCGAATTCAAAAATGTTCATCTAATTCAAATTTTGTTCATAAAATGCAAAAAATGTTCATCCAGTTTTCCAAAAGTTCATCCGGTTTTCAAAAAAGTGTTCTTGATTAGTGAATTTGTTCATGAAGTTCAAAAAAATGTTCATCCAGTTTTCCAAAAGTTCATCCGGTTTTCAAAAAAGTGTTCTTGATTTGTGAATTTGTTCATGAAGTTAAAAAAGTGTTCATCTTATTAAAATTTGTTCACCGTAATTTTTTTAAATGTTCATCAATTTCAAAAAAAATCATCCGATTTTTTCAGAAAATGTTCTTGAATTGAGAATTTGTTCATCGGGTTCAAAAAATGTTGATCATATTCAAAATTTGTTCACCGTAATTTTTTAAAATGTTCATCAAATTAAAAAAAATGTCACCCATTTTTTGAAAATTCATCCGATTTTTTTGGAAAATGTTCTTGAATTGAGAATTTGTTCATCAATTCAAAAAATGTTCATCAATATCCAAATTCGAACATATTTTAAAACCATCAACATTGTTTTCAAACTCGTGAACATTATTCGAATTCAGAGACATTTTTTGGTTCCATGAACTTTTATGAAATTTGCATTTTAAATATTTTGGAAAGTTTTTGAAACCCGGCGGGGCTTCGACTGGGCCATGAAGACAGAAAACCGAAATCGAACACGCACTGAGGCTAAACATATGTATATGCGGTTGTGGGGAGTCGAACACATGACGCACCGCCATACCTGACGATTTCCTACCAGCTGAGCTAGTAGGTGTAGTTGATTAAAGAGTAGCATCAGACCTAAAGAACCAGACATGCTGCGCAGGAATTTCGAAGGCATTTTTTTTCAAGAAATGGAATGTTCTGTGAAACGCAAACACTTTCTAAATTTTTGAACAAAATTTAAAAAACAAGAACATTTTTTGAAACTATTTAACAGTTTTTTGAAACGAGAACATTTTTCAAATTTCAAAACAAAAATTTGAAACGTGAAGATATATTGAAATTCCTGGACAAAATTTGCAGAGATTTTACAAAATTTGTGAACATTTTTTTAAATGGGAACATTTTTTGAAACTACCAAAAAATGAAAACAAGAACATTTTTTTAAAATGGGAACATTTATCAAAAATAGTAGAAAAGTTGAACAAAAGCATTCCAAACAACTTTTGTAAAACAATAACATTTTCTCAAATGCCCAAACAATTTTTGAAAAATGCGTACTTTTTTGATTTTATTAACGATTTTTTAAAACACGAATATTTTTCGGAATTTTGAACTTTTGGACACGAACAAATTTTGAACTTTCCGAACAACTTTCAAAAGAAACGAAAAAAATAAAAAAAACAGACAGAAAACAGGAAAAAGGAAAAGAAAGAAGAAAAAGAAATATAAAAACGGAAAAAAGAAAGACGAAAAAAACCATAGAAGAAACAGAAAAAGCGGTCAAAAAGGAAAAAAACGGTTCAGGTAACCTTCTAGAAGGTTCCCAAAACCGGCTAGCTACGCTCGTATAAGGGCCGGCCCACTGCCAGCGATGCGGGGTATGCCTGTGAGTTCTGTCGACAATGATGCATTGAGCGGCGCATAGGATTTTTTCCTGTTTCTCGCTTTAAGCGAGCCAGGTGTAGCTCTCGCGTCGGGGAAGCCCGGATGGGCCGGCCCAGCCGCGCGGGACGCCAGCCACCTGGAGTTTTTTATTTTCTGTTTTACGTTCTTATTTTTTGCTTTATTTTCACAGTTTTCTTTATATTTTTAACATATTCTCCACACACACACACACACACACACACACACACACACACACACACACACACATTATGAATAAACTCTTCAAAACACATTTGAAAAATGTTGAACAAGTATCTAAAAAATGTTGAATAAGTACTAAAAAAATATTGAACAAGAATTTGAAAAATGATGAGCTGATATTTGAAAATTGTTGAATGAGTAATAAAAATATTGAACAAGTGTTTGAAAAATGTCGAATAATTATTAAAAAATGTTGAATGAGTGTATGAAAAATGTTGAATGAGTATATAAAAATGTTGAATAAGTATTTAAAACCCTGTTCAACAATTCACCCGATTAACCAGTTAACTTGCCGATTAATCCCTACTCATAGGGTCACCGAGTAGCCGATAAACTGATAAATCGTTTGATTAATTGATTAAATGGCCGATTAACTTGCCGATTAGCCTATTAATCCCCTACTCGCTAGCCAACCGAGCAGTTACCAGTTAACGATTTTCTCGACAATGATTTAAAATGTTGAGCAAGTATTTGAAAAATGTTGAAATGCGTATTAAAAAATGTTGAACAAGTATTTAGAAAATGTTGAAGTAAGTATTAAAAATATGAACAAGAATTTGTTTAAATAAGTATTTGAAAAATATTGAAAAAGCGTTAGGACAATGTGGAACATGTGTACAAAAAATGTTGATCATTTATTAAAAGACTTTCTTGACATATACGAAAATGTAGAGTGAAAACGAAATCAAACATAATTTTAAAAACAAAAAGTGAAGAAGAAGAAAAAAAACAAACAAAAATGGAGAAGAAACAAAGAAAACCAAACAAAAACTGGAGAAGAAAAAGAAACCAAATAAAATCGAAGAAAATCCTATCAAAATAGAAAGAAAAAATAGAAAAAACCGTAAAAGCAATGGAAGACCGACTTTGTTTGCCTCAAGTAGAAAGCGCACCACCAATTTAGACTACCCACAATGAGAGTAACATATATAGTAATATCACACATATCTAGATAAAATAGGTGATGTGGCAAACAGTAAATGGAGAAAGATAGGGAAGTGGTAACGTAGCTAGTTACTAATAATATAAGTAACATCACACATATCATGGCAAGATGAGTCTATAGCATAATAAATGAAATGTTGCATGTTACCACACATATGTTACTCACCACTATAGAGGTAGTAACATAGACCGGTAACATATGCATGTTACTAGTCTATGTTACTACCCCTTGTGACTAGTCTTATCGCGTGGAGAGGTATTGGCACAGTGGCTTGCGTCGCGAGCTCTCTCCATAGCGACTAGAGATCCATCCCCTCTTCTCCTTATTTCCCATTCAAATTTCCGTTCGAACATTGCGCGAAAATTGGCCGGCCCAACTAGTCTACAACCTTGACGAGACATCCTGGCGCGATCGCTTAATGTGATAAATAGCATTCACACTCCCCTTCCCCAAAATTGGAATCCCCCCATTCCCACAATCGCCCAACGGACTTAGCAACCTGGTTTTGGGAAGATAATAGAAGGTTTTCTCCATCACTTTTTTTATTAACAAGGGTTTTCTATTTTTAATATATTCTTTTTTCATCCCTTCTCTCTTTATCCCTTTTTTGTTTCTTTTTATAATCTATTTTATTTTCTCCTTTGATTTCTTAAGGACATTAAGAATTTCCAAATTTGTGACCTTTATTTAATTCATGAACATTTTTCAACGTCGTGAACATTTTTAAAATTAGTAGACGTTTTTTAATTTATGATCAATTTTGAAATGCGTCAACATATTTTAAGTCATGAACAGTTTTTGAAGACATATATAATTTTCAAAACCGTGAATATTTTTAAGATCCATGAACATATTTTTAATTCACAAACATTTTTCAAAACCGTGAATATTTTTAATTCACAAACCGTGAAGAATTTTTTAATTTCATGAACAATTTGCAAATTCATGAGCATTTTCTAAATTTGCAAACCATTTTTCGAATCCGTTAACAATTTTTGAATTGATGGTCTTTTTAAAATTCATGAATATTTTTTGAATTCATGATACTTCTAATTTATGAAAAAAATCATGAATTTTTAAAATTCATGAACCTTTTTGAATTCATGAACCTTTTTGAATTGATGAGCAGTTTTCAAAGTTCCAACAATTTCTGAACATTGGTTCAGTTTTTTTATGGAGTGGAGAAAAACAACAGGAATGGACGAAGCTAGCGATCCAAAGTAATGAATGGGCTGGCTCACCCGACTCTAGCGACATGAACGATTGCTCCATACATATCGCGTTAAGTGATACAGTACATATCATGAGAGCTCCTATTGAAGGCTTGGGCGCTAGCACCGTTAACTCACAGTCCAGCGTGCGTGTTGGCCGATCCAGCTATGCTAGGTCACTCGCTCGCCCGCCTGGTTTGACCAGTGGACAATTGATCGGTTGACCGTTAACTAGCCCTTGACTTTTAGAAAAAAATTATGATTTTTTAAATGTTGGCAAGTTTGAAAAAAAGTGGACAGAATTGAAAAAGTTCGGAGCTTGAAAAAAATGTTCGCAAACTGGTAAAAAGTTCACGAATTTGAAAAAAACAATACTTCACCAATCCTAAAAAAATGTTCATGAACTCGATTTTTTTGTATAATTGAAACAAATTTAGGAATTTGAAAATATTTCGTGAAAATTGAAAAAGTGACGAATTTGAGAAAATATTTACCAACTTGAAAAGGTTTTTGAATTTGAAAAAGTTCATGTATTCATAAATATGTTCAGGAATTTGCAGAAGTTCGTGAATTTGAAACAAAAAAGTCACAAATTTTGAAAAAAGTCCACAAATTTAATAAACTTCACAAATTCAAAAAAAATCTTAAAAGAGAAAAAGTAAATATTGGGTGAAATAAAGCAAAGGTGGGTGAAATAAATTGGCTGGAAGCTTCTGGAAGGTTCCCAAAACTGGTCTGAAAAAAGAGCCTACATGGGCTGGCTCATAGGAACGTAACTACCCAAATCATCAAAATCACTAGTTAAGGAGGACCCCCCACGGAGGTCACTCGGGGTAGCGCCCCAACGCAACAAGTATCGCGTCGTGATGAGACGATAGACTTTTATGTCGCGCTCTATGTTCAACACATGATGTAAGGAGAGGAGACCTCGAGTGTTTCCCGGTTTTCGTTTTCTCATTTTCTGTTTTTTCTCTTTCCACTTTAGTCCTTAAACTTGTTAGATTTCTTATTCTACCTTTTCATCTAGTCCTTCATCCGTCTTCCTCCCTTGTCTTACCCCGTCGGGCTTGTTTCCTCCAGCCTTCTTCATACCCCCACGTCGGCGCCACCTCTTCCTTTGTTCCTCATCGGTGCTCTTCCAGTGACAGCCACCTTCTCCATTTCCTCTCGGTCAATCGTCTTCTCCGTTGGTTCCTTACTTCCTTACCGCCGTGGGTTGTAGTTAGTTTGTCCCCTCCTTAAATTCACTTTTTTACTTTGAGTTTCCCATTCTATTCCCGAGATAGGGAGTTTTATGGGGTAAATATGGTTGAGTCTTTCAACTCTATCAAATGATAGCTTTCAAATTGATCATACAACATGTTTATTGAATTATTTCTTTGTAATATATGTTTTTATGTTCTTTGCAACTATTATTTCTTGTGGCAGGCTAAGTGGCCCTCCCCCTGGTGATGATTCTCCATATCAATTCACTGTGGTGCTGGATTGGTGGTGTTCGAGGCGTGCAGTAAGTTTAACAATTTTTTGGGTTGAAACTGTTGGTAAAAAGTGTGGTGTTGCATACTTAGTTCTAGTTTTATTATTTTTCTATGTTTTTTGCAAAGATTTAGAATTCTACATTTCATTTATTTGTGTTTCATTCTTTTGCAGTATGTGCTACTTCTTGAGCTTGCGTTGGTTTTTCCCTTGAAGAGGAAAGGGTGATGCGGCAAAGTAGAGGTAAGTATTTCCCTCAGTTTGAGAACCAAGGTATCAATCCAGTAGGAGGTACACGCTGAAGGAAATATGCCCTAGAGGCAATAATAAAGTTATTATTTATTTCCTTATATCATGATAAATGTTTATTATTCATGCTAGAATTGTATTAACCGGAAACATAATACATGTGTGAATACATAGACAAACAGAGTGTCACTAGTATGCCTCTACTTGACTAGCTCGTTAATCAAAGATGGTTATGTTTCCTAGCCATAGACAAAGAGTTGTTATTTGATTAATGGGATCACATCATTAGTTGAATGATCTGATTGACATGACCCATTCCATTAGCTTAGCACCCGATCGTTTAGTATGTTGCTATTGCTTTCTTCATGACTTATACATGTTCCTATGACTATGAGATTATGCAACTCCCGTTTGCCGGAGGAACACTTTGGGTGCTACCAAACGTCATAACGTAACTGGGTGATTATAAAGGAGCATTACAGGTGTCTCCAAAGGTAGATGTTGGGTTGGCGTATTTCGAGATTAGGATTTGTCACTCCGATTGTCGGAGAGGTATCTCTGGGCCCTCTCGGTAATGCACATCACATAAGCCTTGCAAGCATTGCAACTAATATGTTAGTTGTGAGATGATGTATTACGGAACGAGTAAAGAGACTTGCCGGTAACGAGATTGAACTAGGTATTGGATACCGACGATCGAGTCTCGGACAAGTAACATACCGATGACAAAGGGAACAACGTATGTTGTTATGCGGTTTGACCGATAAAGATCTTCATAGAATATGTAGGAGCCAATATGGGCATCCAGGTCCTGCTATTGGTTATTGACCAGAGATTTGTCTCAGTCATGTCTGCATTGTTCTCGAACCGTAGGGTCCGCACGCTTAACGTTACGATGACAGTTATTATGAGTTTATGCATTTTGATGTACCGAAGTTAGTTCGGAGTCCTGGATGTGATCACGGACATGACGAGGAGTCTTGAAATGGTCGAGACATAAAGATTGATATATTGGAAGCCTATATTTGGACATCAAAATCGTTTCGGGTGAAATCGGCATTTTACCGGAGTACCAGGGGGTTTATTGGGCCTACATGGGCCTTGAGGGAGAAGAGAGAAGGAGGCAAGAGGTGGCCGCACGCCCCTCCCCTTCCTAGTCCGAATAGGACAAGGGAAGGGGGGCGGCGCCCCCCCCTTTCCTTCCTCTCTTCCTCCTCTTTCCCCCCTCTCTCTCCTTGTCCAACTAGGAGTCCTACTCCCGGTGGGAGTAGGACTCCCCCTTGGCGCGCCCCACCTTGGCCGGCTGCCCCTCCCCTTGGCTCCTTTATATACGGAGGCAGGGGGCACCCTAGAACACACAAGTTGATCCTCGTGATCGTTCCTTAGCCGTGTGCGGTGCCCCCTGCCACCATATTCCACCTCGATCATATCGTTGTAGTGCTTAGGCGAAGCCCTGCGTCGGTAGAACATCATCATCGTCTCCACGCCGTTGTGCTGACGGAACTCATCCCCGAAGCTTTGCTGGATCGGAGCCCGGGGAGCGTCATCGAGCTGTAAGTGTGCCAAGAACTCGGAGGTGCCGGAGTAACGGTGCTTGGATCGATTGGATCGGGAAGAAGACGTACGACTACTTCCTCTATGTTGTGTCAAAGCTTCCGTTGCGATCTACAAGGGTACGTAGATCATACTCTCCCCTCTCGTTGCTATGCATCACCATGATCTTGCGTGTGCGTAGGAAAATTATGAAATTACTACGTTCCCCAACAGTAGCATCCGAGCCTAGGTTTTATGGTTTGATGTTATTTGCACGAGTAGAACACAAGTGAGTTGTGGGCGATATAAGTCATACTGCCTACCAGCATGTCATACTTTGGTTCGGCGGCATTGTTGGACGAGACGACCCGGACCGACATTACGCGTACGCTTACGCGAGACCGGTTCTCCCGACGTGCTTTGCACATAGGTGGCTTGCGGGCGACAGTCTCTCCATCTTTAGTTGAACCGAGTGTGGCTATGCCCGGTCCTTGCGAAGGTTAAAACGGCATCAACTTGACAAACTATCGTTGTGGTTTTGATGCGTAGGTGAGATTGGTTCTTACTTAAGCCCGTAGCAGCCACGTAAAACTTGCAACAACAAAGTAGAGGACGTCTAACTTGTTTTTGCAGGGCATGTTGTGATGTGATATGGTCAAGACATGATGCTAAATTTTATTGTATGAGATGATCATGTTTTGTAACCGAGTTATCGGCAACTGGCAGGAGCCATATGGTTGTCGCTTTATTGTATGCAATGCAATCGCGATGTAATGCTTTACTTTATCACTAAGCAGTAGCGATAGTCGTGGAAGCATAAGATTGGCGAGACGACAACGATGCTACGATGGAGATCAAGGTGTCGCGCCGGTGACGATGGTGATCACGACGGTGCTTCGGAGATGGAGATCACAAGCACAAGATGATGATGGCCATATCATATCACTTATATTGATTGCATGTGATGTTTATCTTTTATGCATCTTATCTTGCTTTGATTGACGGTAGCATTTATAAGATGATCTCTCACTAAATTATCAAGAAGTGTTCTCCCTGAGTATGCACCGTTGCGAAAGTTCTTTGTGCTGAGACACCACGTGATGATCGGGTGTAATAGGCTCTACGTTCAAATACAACGGGTGCAAAAGAGTTGCACACGCGGAATACTCAGGTTATACTTGACGAGCCAAGCATATACAGATATGGCCTCGGAACACGGAGACCGAAAGGTCGAGCGTGAATCATATAGTAGATATGATCAACATAGTGATGTTCACCAATGAAACTACTCCATCTCACGTGATGATCGGACATGTTTTAGTTGATTTGGATCACGTGATCACTTAGAAGATTAGAGGGATGTCTATCTAAGTGGGAGTTCTTAAGTAATATGATTAATTGAACTAAAATTTATCATGAACTTAGTCCCTGATAGTATCTTGCTTGTTTATGTTGACTGTAGATAGATGGCTCGTGCTGTTGTTCCGTTGAATTTTAATGCGTTCCTTGAGAAAGCAAAGTTGAAAGATGATGGTAGCAATTACACGGACTGGGTCCGTAACTTGAGGATTATCCTCATTGCTGCACAGAAGAATTACGTCCTGGAAGCACCGCTGGGTGCCAGGCCTGCTGCTGGAGCAACACCAAATGTTATGAACGTCTGGCAGAGCAAAGCTGATGACTACTCGATAGTTCAGTGTGCCATGCTTTACGGCTTAGAATCGGGACTTCAACGACGTTTTGAACATCATGGAGCATATGAGATATTTCAGGAGTTGAAGTTAATATTTCAAGCAAATGCCCGGATTGAGAGATATGAAGTCTCCAATAAGTTCTATAGCTGCAAGATGGAGGAGAATAGTTCTGTCAGTGAGCATATACTCAAAATGTCTGGGTATAATAATCACTTGATTCAATTGGGAGTTAATCTTCCAGATGATTGCGTCATTGACAGAATTCTCCAATCACTGCCACCAAGCTACAAGAGCTTCGTGATGAACTATAATATGCAAGGGATGAACAAGACTATTCCCGAGCTCTTTGCAATGCTGAAAGCTGCAGAGGTAGAAATCAAGAAGGAGCATCAAGTGTTGATGGTCAACAAGACCACTAGTTTCAAGAAAAAGGGCAAAGGGAAGAAGAAGGGGAACTTCAAGAAGAACGACAAGCAAGTTGCTGCTCAAGAGAAGAAACCCAAGTCTGGACCTAAGCCTGAAACTGAGTGCTTCTACTGCAAGCAGACTGGTCACTGGAAGCGGAATTGCCCCAAGTATTTGGCGGATAAGAAGGATGGCAAGGTGAACAAAGGTATATGCGATATACATGTTATTGATGTGTACCTTACTAATGCTCGCAGTAGTACCTGGGTATTTGATACTGGTTCTATTGCTAATATTTGCAACTCGAAACAGGGACTACGGATTAAGCGAAGATTGGCTAAGGACGAGGTGACGATGCGCGTGGGAAACGGTTCCAAAGTCGATGTGATCGCGGTCGGCACGCTACCTCTACATCTACCTTCGGGATTAGTATTAGACCTAAATAATTGTTATTTGGTGCCAGCGTTGAGCATGAACATTATATCTGGATCTTGTTTAATGCGAGACGGTTATTCATTTAAATCAGAGAGTAATGGTTGTTCTATTTATATGAGTAATATCTTTTATGGTCATGCACCCTTACGGAGTGGTCTATTCTTATTGAATCTCGATAGTAGTAATACACATATTCATAGTGTTGAAGCCAAAAGATGCAGAGTTGATAATGATAGTGCAACTTATTTGTGGCACTGCCGTTTAGGTCATATCGGTGTAAAGCGCATGAAGAAACTCCATATTGATGGGCTTTTGGAACCACTTGATTATGAATCACTTGGTACTTGCGAACCGTGCCTCATGGGCAAG